GCAATCAGCTCAGCCGCCTTGGAGTCACCCTCAGCAGAGATGATGGCTGCCTTTTTTTGCTGCTCAGCCTAAAAGAATGGAGGTGGAGACAGACTAAGATCAAACCTCAGGGCACCACATGTCAGGCTACAACCAAAGGCCCTTCACCAGAAAGCCACCTTCCCAGGCTCCTGGAGGAACTTGGGGAGTTTACCTCCTCCTGATGGCGGGGGGAGGCAGAGCACACAGCCCACCAGTCCTCCCCTTCCCTTTCATGCTCACTCGTCACGGGAGAGATACATTTCTGTTGGTTGCATGAATATTTGTCTTATTTCAAAGTCCTCATTAATATTAATTGCAATCTAGCTTAACAACTCTACTCTGAGCCAGGAGGATCCAAGGCCAAGGAAAACAGAAGCAAAAGAAAAATGGAATCAACCCTCAAGGCTCATCTTTCCTTCCAGCCCCAAGTCTAAAGGACTTCATCAAAGCCAGGACAGGGCCAGGTGTGGTGGCTCATGCCTGTAATCCTGGCACTTTGGGAGGCGGAGGCAGGAGGATCACTTGAGCCAGGAGGTCAAGGCTGCAGTGAGCTATGATCATGCCATTGCATTCCAGCCTGGGCCACAGAGGGAGCCGCTGTCACAAACAAAAAACCTCAGGATGGCTAAGGAAGAGCAACATGCACTTGTGACTGTTCCTTGAGCTGCCTGTGGGCTAGGCTGATTCCTGACCAGAATCCAGGCACCCACAGGGAGACCTCCTAGGCCTGCCCTACCAATATTAAGAGGAAGACAGTTCTCTGAAATGTGTGACCTTCAGGAGTGTGAGGAAAAGGACAGTATTAAGACTCCCTGAAATTACATACAATTTTGAAATGGCTGGGCCCTGCGTCTATTTGCTTAACAAACATTTACTGTCTGTCTCTTATACACATCTAGATGTGTATAAGAGACAGGGCCAGGACAGGACATGGTTTTTGATCTAAGGCCCAGAGAATCCCGAGCTGATAAAGGCCCATTGTGGCAGCTTCTAGAGAAACCCAGAGGCCAT